TTGCGTAGGATTGTATTTCCATGTATTTCGTTTTCATTCATGTGTCGAACGGGCTCATTTTCATGGTCAATTTTCAGCGGATTTTGGTTTATTTTAGTCATAAAACAAACACCAGATGTTCTGCGCCGCTGTGAAGAGATTTTTATCTCTTAACTGTGTCACAAGGAACGCAGGCGAAATGCGTGAATCATCTTTAGTCTTTTTTAACTACATAAAAAAAATGTTTATTTATTATAGACGAAGTTAATGGCTGCAGTGTTAGATTAGCGACATTCCCCAGTAGCTTTGAAAGTGTGAAATATTTTATGATTGTTCAACAATGGAATTCAAAGAAAAAAATGTAAAAAAAAGTGGATACACCTTTGGTATCCTAATTCATGATGAAGTCGGTAATCACAAACATTTGTTGCTTGTAAAACCATCGAGTTTTGCGAGAAATCTTAACAATTCTGCAAGTGTCTGTGGTACTTATGCCTAAGACAATTCATAACAATATTCTGTAATGCTGATATGAAATATTGCGTATACGTCGTGGAGTAACCTTAGAAAATTACGCTTGAAATTTGTATTTTACTTCACTACTTAAAGTGCTTTCTGTTCTAATTACATCTAATTCAATGCAATAATGTTAATCATTTTTACTACATCCTTTTCAAATTTAACTTGGCTATGGTTTTTACAATGTACTCCAATTATATGTATGTATAAGGATATTATATTTATCTTTCAATAAATGTACTACATTTAATTGGAAGTCAGAGAAAGTGCGTTTTTCCATATTTTTCATAAAGAATTTTATTTAATAAACAAATTAGAAAAGTGTGCATTTATAGAATTTAATGTATTAATCGAAGATTAATTTAGAAAAAATTCCCGTAKTTGATTGAAGAAAAAATCACTCGGCACCAAATCGCTTGAATACGGTAGTTAATCGATGATATTCATTGCGTTTTTGGCTTTAAATTCGATCACAGTCCTACTATTCAAACAAAAAACATTCAACTTTTTCGGAATGAGTCGAGCATACCTCAAAAATATACCAAAATCATTCGAAGGAACTCCCGAGGGATGTCTCTTGCCATCTCTTTAACACTCTCCTGATGATTTTCAAGCACCATTTTTCATCARTTCAACATTTGGCCAAACTTAAATAAGAGCGAACACATTGGACAATCTGTCGGTATGAACRAAATAGTGGAATTAGCAAAACAAACAGGTTTTAATGAGATAATATGGATACCGTGGAATAAATAGTTTAACGAACAGCAGCAGAGCTTAGAAAGAAGAAAACAAAAATACTGACAGTAGTGATTGCGAAGTAGAGCAAAAAAAAATTCGGAGGAGTTTGTAAAAAGAAATTTGACCACTGTAACAGAAATTATGGATCAATTTGTTGAAAATTTTCCATATTTGAAGTATTCAGAGAGTTAAAAAAAAATAATAATCTGTACAAAATTCTTTCCGAAAAGTTTTTCATTCGACTTTATTTTATTTCAAGGTTACCATATAATTGTGTTACTTACAATTAAACAACAATATTTTTTTATAAAAATTATATAATAATGTAACTAAATGTTTTAAGGGCTAGGTTTAGCTGGCATAATAATAATTAGCTAATAATTTACAATATTCTTCCTAATTTATATTAATAATATATCAATTCAACATATGTATATATGTATGTGTGTGTAACAATACTATGCAGTACAAAGTAACGAGGTATTTGCATTTTGTGTCTAACTCTACGCACTCCTTAATTGTAGAAACGAATGCGATCGCGATAATCTCGGATGCTATCAAGCAAAATGCAAGCGAACACCGAGCCAATTAACTGGAAAAGACAACATTTCATTAAAACTCATAAAGTATGCTTTGAACACACTTACCTCCGTGATAATCAAACACCAACTAATAGTGTTGAAGCTGCTCGTCTTCTCAGTCAAATATTCGCCAAATTTCTTCTCACAACCAACCACATAGAGATTTAGAACGTTCGTACAGTCCTGGTAGCGACAGCAGCTGGGYGGCGGAACTTTGTCCATGAGAAAATAGTCATTGGCGCTGCTCTTGCCGCAGCACTGGAGCTGTGGGTGGAGAAATTAATATGATTTTAGAAGCGAGAATGTGTATAAATATTTGGGTTACAGGAGGCTGCTTTTGATTTGTGTGAAAGGAGTACGTTTGTGGATAATAAATCACTTTTAAATCTTACCCACTCTTCATAAAAAGACAGTGTTGTGTTTTTGTTCGAATTCCGTTTATCCCAGAGTTCGTCGAAACCTCTTTGCAGGCCACTTGAGAGACTGCCGCTTGCCGCCGTGTAGCTGATGCTCACGAGGAATATTTGTATGACCAGCAAAATAACTAAAATCACAGCATACTGTGGAGCAAATAGAGATATATTATTATTTTTTGCTTATTTATCTTTGATATTAAATATTTTTCGAAGTAAGGTCAATGTTCGATAATATTCCTAAATCGGTAGTAATGAATCTCTGTGCGTGTTATTGATGAACAAGAAAATATTTTGATGGTTTAAAATCGTCAATAAGAAGAAGACAAAAAATATCATTCATTATCCGAAGAAAACTTCAATTTCTAAAGCATTCAGCTGATGATAGTGAGCTCAAAACTTGTGACCTACATATTTCAACTTCAGTTCTTGGCAAATGAAAAAGCCTAATAAACCTGTATAAACAGTTACTTTGAAACTATTTCGGTAAAACTATTCAAACAATTAAATGTAACTGTTTTAAAGTTTTACTTCTCTTTGATATGTATAGTTATAAGCTTAAATTAAGCGGCCCTTTGGTGCAGTGGATAGCACATTGGACTTCTAATCCAAAGGTCGCGGGTTCGATCCCCGCAAGGGCTCTAGAAGATTCTATTTTGTGCTTAATATGGTGTTTAGTTAAGGTAGATAGCCCTCTAAGCATCATACCATTCGAAATTAAAAGACTTTAAGCGTGTTGAAATCAATTCAGACTTCAAGATTCGCAAAGTATTCTTCTCATTTTTGAAAGTTATAATTTATATACTCACATAATGGATCATTACTTACACTTATCAACATGCTTTTGGACTCCATGTAGGTTGCAGCACAGCCAAAGACCGCCATCACCAATAACACTGCGCCCAGAAGTACAATAACGGTAGCGACCAGGGTTTCACTGTTATCCACATCTATTTCTCCAATATTGCTATGTAGCCAAGCTCCGAACCACATTAGTATTACACCCATGATCTGAGGATAAAGGGAAAGTATGCTAGAGACTCAGATCAGCATTGTCTTAATACTATACCGATTCAATGGACATACATATACATATGAATATAGGTTAAGTAAAGGTCCGACAATATGATATAACCATTGGAACAGATTTGATCCGTAGTACCACAAAACAATTACATTTTCACCCACTTTCATGAAAAATTTTCCTATCGCCAAATAACAAAATGCTAATAGGTTATAATTTTATACACACTTGTTATAAACCTCGGCTTTTGTTCACCTAACGGTTGTATGTATCACCTAAAACTAGTCGAGATAGATATAGGATGATGAGAAAAGTTGAAATCCGAATAACTGTCTTCGTGTCTGCTCGTGCATTCGAGCTGTAACTTGAGTAAAAATTTCTTGATCTTGATAAAAGTGCTATGCGGGTTCTTCAGCAAAAAAAAGTGAAGACGAGTTCGTAGATAATTATAATTGGAATACTGCCACGTCTACAAAACGCCATTAACCAGTAGTTAAGTCTAAATACCACTAAAACTCTAATTAGGCACTGGGATCGCAGAAGCCAGGGGTCTCTGTGGCAATTTTTTTTTTAAAGTGGCGATGGCTCTGCCCTMTAATAAGTTTAATGTACCTATCTCTTAAACCGCTAGAGCTACGATAATCAAATCGGAGATAACCCCGCTAACTCTCCAAATAACGGAACTGTTCCAAACAAAATCACGATAAGTCAATAATTCCATTTTACCACCGATTTGGCAAGTGAGAGCTTTAAAAGAGCCGTGGTCGAAATTGGATATTGGGCGTGGCACCCCTGTTTAGGTAAAATCACATATCTCGATACCCGTCCGACCGGTTTCAACCAAATTCGGTATGTGACATTCCTCTGATATTTATATGATACAGTGTGAAAATGGTCGGAATCGTCTTGCGGTCACGGTTACTTCCSATTTMACACAATTTTAAATTCYACTTGATTATTWCACTTTCCAGTATACAAATCAAGCAGCAATTAAAATAACGGGATAAAACTTTGCACCAATGTCAAAAATGGATTGAATCAGGTCAATACTTCCCTTAGCTCCCAATGGTTAATACAATGATTTTTAAACTTCCGGGTGACTTTAGACCGCATAAACATATATCGGCCAATGTGTGATCTATCTTAATGCAATTGAGATAGCGTGTTCTTCTTATAACGGTTCATATATGTGCTTTATTAGAGTAAAAACTCGCTTCAAACCCCATATAACTAACAATCATTATGTTTCTGCAAGTTGCAAAATTATGAARTGTTCGGTTACAACCTAACTTAGGCCTTTCTTATTTGTTAAGTTGAAGCATATGACGCTGTCACTTCTGTAACTGAAGTTTCGGCGCTTCTTTTGCATCTCTTACTGTTTCATTGAAGGGCACTGAGACAGTTGTTTAAATAAAGCTTGAATGAACGAAGCTGTGAAGTGAAGTTCTGTTCTGTATTTATATATTTATATAGTTAATACTCTTTTATAATTTTGGGCATATTTTTGAATATCAAGTGGCCCTTTGGTGCAGTGGATAGCACATTGGACTTCTAATCCAAAGGTCGCGGGTTCGATCCCCGCAAGGGCTCTAAGAGATTATATTTTTGCCAATAGGGWCCTAATCTGTTATCATTATAAAGTGGAAGGCTCCCTGTGCATAGACCTTGGTCTGTTGATAAGCTGAAGCGGATTTCAGTACTTKTTCCTGCCTTTGGCTTTAAGAAATTTCTATCTTAAAATCAGTTAGCAAAGCTTTAAATGTACATATCGGGATCAAGCTTATAAGCTCTAGTCTTCGAATGAAATACTAGTCAACATAGCTGTAGAAATTTGATCAGAGGGGAGAGAATATAAGTATGAATGCAACAGTGACAAGTCTCCCATATATAAATACCGACAAAATTTTCATAAAAATTGTATTCAGTTGATATTACGGACTTTTCCTGGTCACTAATCTTCTTCTGTTTGACCGAATGCTGAATGGCATAACGACAGTGTACGAAAGAAAGAAAGACAATGAGAGAGCACCATCTTTCGAATTAAAGGGATACCTCGTAAGAAAGGTAATGCTAGAAATATTGTCCGACGCAAACTGTCGAAGTTATTAGAAAAAGGTGAAGTAGAAAAATTCAGGCATTTCCACTTCAACTGTCAAGCGTTATCATGATTGTGATGGAAACATCTCGGCAGTCATATCTTTAGTGAACCTGGTGAAATAACCGGAAGCGAKGTCACTTCAAAAAAATTGTGCCAGGTCAGTACTTAGGTGTATTTAAGTATGACAATGGACCGGCGTTCTCTACTATCCAAGTGGGCTACTCTTTTGGATCGACCTCCTAACATAGGAGGGTTCAAATAAGCTTCGGAAGGAGTATTTTATTGTGATCACTTTTGATTGTAAATCAAATATAAAAAAGTATTGCTCCCAACCCCTGAAATCACCTCTGACCCATTTAAGTAAAGACTATTCGGCTACGATTTTCTAATCAGTTTACTTGTTCCTACAAAAACATTTATATTTGAAAATAACGTTTTTCTTTCCCAAATCCCAACAACATTTGCCACCACTGTACCCGATTCCATTTCAAAAGCTTTCTCTTGAAAGCTCCTAAACGGCCAAACTATTAAAGTTTGCACAATTGTTTTCACAAACTGTTTTTTTTAAATGTGTGGCTCATATACGCTTGCGAAGCAGAAAGAGGGATGGAAAGTGCAAAGAGAATTKTGACATGATAACAAAACATAAAATGAAATGTATGTGTTTGTGGATGATTGCATTMAAAATGAGAAAGGCGAAAAGAACGGTCACAATTTGTAGTTTATTTTTAAATAGTCKCACACAATATGACTAATTATTGTCATCAGCGTCTGCAAACAATGCGCTAAATTGGCAAGGTAAATAACGGAAAAGAGAAAATGTCACTCATTGAAGCGGCGTAATTAAGTAAAAGAGGATATAGGAATTTTAGAAATTAATTAAGTGAAGGAAATACAATTTTTTTGTAATTTGTTTAGGGAACTGTGTGCGAGATTCAACATTTTCATTTTATGGTGGCAGGACAAAGTGGTGAAATAGTTATGTAATGGTATCACTCGAAAGTTCTAAATAAGCGATAATTGACTAAAAAATAACGGCAGAAATATTAAAACAAGATGAGAGTGAGTCATGAAAACACTTTTAGATGAAATATCAAATCTTAATAACTGCATGACTATTTTCACTTATTTTAACTACATATTCTTCCACTAACTAGTTYTAAGTAACATTTGAATAAGCAATAACTCGCCGGATGCCGCATGATACCCAAAGTGGATTGAATCCAGACTTAACTTCTCTTAGCAGCCATATGACCAKCATATATATTTCGGACCTTTAGTTTAACCAAATAACGAGAATATCACTATTTTTTTAACATCTTTTTTATTGCACACAGTATGTTTTGGCATCAAAAATATATTTAATTGGCTCAACTTTACCATAGACTGGGTTGAAATACTTATATGTACATCAATAAAATAATACAAGAAATTAAATTATCATCTACAGCCTCCCTATACACCTTATTCCCAATATGTATATCTARTTGATTTTATGCGGTATTCAGTAATCATACATATGTAAGATATGTTAAGGAAATTATTTAACGGATTACATGGGTTTAAGGGTTTCAAATAATTTTTTTTTATTATTAAACTTTTCTACAACACCTCTGGAATATTGTCCTAAGTTCAAGTCAAGTTGATCCGAGTAATAGTTCGGAGATACAGCCTTGAGAACTTGTGTGTTGGAGGCTAGCTAAGCTGTGTGCACCGCCTTTAAACGCGTTTTTCTCGGAACTGTGTTTTTGAATTACTCAAAAGGTACCACCAATCTTAATGAAATTTTACACAGGTCTTTGAGATAAAATTCTTGAAAGCTTTTTTCCGATTACAACTATTTGAAAAAAAAATGCGAAACTTTCGCGAAGGGTCCCGGAAATGTCCCAGTTTAAAATATTTTTCCCAAAAATTTCAAAATTTCTTTGTTAATAGTGWATGTTTGTAACAATGAAAAATTCGAATAAAATATTTCATTTTTTATATGAGAAAAAACATGTTGAACAAATTTTTTTTTTTATTATCTGAGGAAACCCATGCGACCCCTAAATCTTCCGCTTGAACCAATTACGGATATGATTTTTAACTTCCTTCCGGTTAGTTTATACYAAGACAAGGTAGAAAAGATAAATTGATGAAGATTGCACAGCAACCGAGATTCTAAAACTTTTTTATTTCACAAATTTTGCTGAGTTATTAAAATACTTACAGCACAGATCGCATTAAATACGAATAGCGTGACTTTCAAACGCTTCCTCGTGCAGCGAAACATTTTCGTCTGTTGAACAGCTGTTGTCTATATCCTGCCACGAACAGTCTATTACACACTTTTTTATATAATATATCGATGTAAGTGGGTTTATCACTTATTCTTGGTAAAAATAATACTGCTATTCGCATTTACTCGTTAACTGCTCGCATATATGTGTATGTATATACACTATATATATGTAAATAGGTATGTATGCATGCACAACAATTGAAAATAAAAACAATTACACAATCGATTCTAACGAATTCCGTTACGCTAAAAAATTCACAAGACACTGACTGCTCTTACAGTACTAAAGACCGATCGTCACCGGCGCATCCGCGGTCACTTTCGCGGCGCGTTCACGTAGCTTCTTAAACTGAATCAACAATAAGCAGCAACAAAACGTCAAAGGGGCCCTGACGATCTCAACTGATCTGCTCTGTTTTGCGCTGCGAACCGTTGTAGTACCTTTGCGGAGCGATGAGCTCAACGCTGACAAAATTTCCGATCGCCATGTCATAAGAAAATCTTGAAAAACCAAAACAACAAAAAAAATCGAAAAAAATAAACTGTCGACTAATTRCTAAYAATTCTCTTCGGTATTTTCCGCTTTTGTTTTTATGCTTTCACTACCTCGTTGTTGTTGTTAGTATTATTGTTGTTGGCAGTTTTATCATTGGCAATAAAAAAAAATCTGCTGCTGTCTTTCACTCTCAGTTGTCTTTACGGCGCTCTATAGCGAAGACACACCGTTACGACAATGCATATGTTAAGTGTGTGTGTGTGTGTGTGGATGTGTGTCTGTGTTTATGCAAATACATACATTGTTGGGCGAAGATTTTCCACCAAGAACGCCAACTCGCACACATAGTCTCCACAGCTGACCAATAAAATGCAATAAAGATTTGAGAGATTAAAACAAAAACACAACATTACAACAACAAAAAAAGATGATATCAAAGTGAAAAGTAAGATCTTTATGAATTTTTAAATGTCAACCGCACAAGCTGCACCTACGCGCTGAGCACACRCTGGCGGCAGCGACAGCAGCGCTGATTTTATGATCGGAAATCGTGGCTGGCCGAAAGACCTTAAAGGCCAATATCAACAAGCTTAAACCGGATCACATATGTRTGTATATTGTATAYTGCGCCAACTTGCATACACATAAAGATATGCATACAGATAAACACACTTTGTAATGATGAAAATTTGTAACAGTGAAAAGCTCTTTGTAAACACATTCAAGTTTATTTCGCCGCTTATTGTTGATTTTCGGAAAATTATAGACCATGTGAGTTCTAAGCAAAACAAATATGTGCGTTGGCTAATTCGAGAGCTAAAAGTGTTTTGAATGACTTCAATTGTGCAGACGTAGTATCTATATATTGTATTGTATATACATATATACCATACATACTTATCGGATCCATTAAGAATTTATCACTATACAAATTCCTTCAATCACATAGCATCCGACAAGAGATAATTTTTGATAAAATTTGATTGACGTGAGTCACTTCAAAGATTCTTCTTTATGAACAAAAAACATTTGGTTTTAGGTTTATTGACTTCATTTTATTTTATACATATTTATTTTAACATTTTAATATATATTGCATATACAGTACCGGACAAAAAAAAGAGGACACCTTAGAAATATGTGATTATTTGATTTTGTTTAAAATTAAGAAATTATATAAAACTATTATGAATCTTCATTGAATATTTAGTAGCGCCTCCTTTATTTTTTATCACGGGTTTTATTCGTTCGGGCATGGAATAATCCAACGACGCTAAGATTTGTGAAGGTACACCGTTATACCAAATATCTTCAATTATTCGGTCAAGTGCTGGCTTTGGTCTTTTCTTGGTTATTCGCAATTTCATGACATGCCAGAGGTTTTCTATTGGGCTTATATCAGAACTGTTCCCAGGCCWGGCCCGTGATAAAAGACCGAATTCTGCTAAATATTTTTCTAACTGAAAAAATTTAAAATGTGTATTAATCATGTCCGTATAGGAACTCTGCCCTTCAATTGAAGGAACCACGTTTCCTGTAACATCTGTTGGTATTTAATAGTGTTGACATTTCCATCAAGTTTCGCCCATTGTAGGCGTTTTTGTCGCCTTTTTACCGTCAATAGCGGTTTATTGGTAGGTCGACAAGCAGTTAGTCCGCCTTCGTTGGGGCGCCGCCGTACTGTTCGTGTATTGATTTCGGTTCCATTTAAGTCTTGAACTTCGCTTCTGTTGTCTTCAGGTGTTTTAAATATGTTCTGAATAGCAATGCGCTTAATGTGGTGGTCATCCTTGGTARCAGTCTTCTTCGGACGTCCGGAACCCGTTTTGCGTTTTAAAGGTAAGTCTTCGCATATTTCTSTAGGAAAGTCAATTTTGGACTTTAAATCGATGTAGTGTTAACAAATCAAACTTTATTATACAAATATGAAAATATGAAATATTGTGCTCAAGGATCAACCTTAACATAAAGGACATTATTTCACAAAATAAGGTTTCAAAATCATAAAATAATAACTTTATGAGCACTATGACTGTCACATGCTCATAAAACRTAGAACTTACTTATTTAATCAACTATCCTCACATCTGATTCGGTATCGGGTTGYTAAGTAAAATTAATTATTCCCCTTCGATTCGAAAGTTTGACAGTTTTCTACGATCTATCGACCCTAAACGTAGGTTTTAYCTTCTGAACGGCTTTGGCCATAAGCTTTTCTTACAAAATTGGTAAAACCATTTTTTCGTAGGAAATTTKATCCCCATATGTAAGTTAGTATGGATTTGACAGCTGTTTGTTAACGGCGCCAAGGTTTGCCTGACGATTTAACCGAAAAAAAATTAAAAAAGAGTTTACTGAAATTTTGTGTCTCCGACACGGAGTAATTGAAAATGTTTTAAACTATTCTGGGGAGTCTAGGAACACAAGTATTTTAGTGGCACAAAGCATTCAGTGAAGACCACGAAGTTATCGAACACTTTCCTTCCTAACTTGAAAGTTGATGAATTTGCAGCAGCAAAATAAATGTGGATCTCAACCTCTCTTATGGCTCGACTCAGCACATTTTGGTTAATGTTTTTGAGTAAGGAGCGACCGAAAATCGTACCGAAAAATCTGAAGCTTTTGTAAAAACAACGTTAAATAGAGGTGGCAAAGGAAATACTTGACAACTTTGAAGACTCCACATTTTTTAAAGATTTATGGATTTGCCGTCAGAAAAAGTCAAAAAGGAACCGAAACCGAAAAACACAAGTTTCGCGAACGGCCCGAAAGGCCATTCAAGCCAAAGCTGTAAGCAAGTGTATGGATGAATTCATTTAGCGCTAACATGTTTTTAATGATTTTCCATTAAAAATAATACTATTATGATTGACATTACAAACGGTTTCACTAAATGCACTTAAATTTCACAAATTCATTTAATTTTCATTGTTTTACTTTTTTTTAAGCGGTCTTGAACAATCCAACAAATCCCTTCTTTTACATATTTTCTTTGTAAGATTTCAATCTGGCCATCGCTCGTWTCCAATTGCTAATCAGCTGATCGAGTTCAGGAGGTTTTGACGTTTAGCAATCTCACTTCCATTCATCTCTTTTTTTGATGTTATAGTTACATACTCAGAACGTTTAGGCACGCGACTGATATTTGTGTTGTTTACTTAATTTTACTACTAATCAATARTTAATAATTTTTTTTAACGTGGATTTACTCAGCGACATTGTATAGATGAAGTTAAYTGAACTGAAAGGACCAGTGTTTATCGATGGTGTGGTGAATTCATTCGAAGTCATAAATCACTCCAAAACGAATTTCGTSAAGGTCGTCGAAAATCARTTGTTTGTTGTTTGTTACAAATAAATATTGTCAGATCGTCATGTGGCCTWTCGTGAGGTAGAGACAACTATAGCCAATTCGGCTTGTATCGATTGGTCGAGGGAAGTGTTAACAAAATCCGAWAGTGGTGCTTCGAAAATGTGACAGGTGATGAATCCTGCAAAAATATTTAAATATGAATTGATAATATTTTTAAAAGCAATAAAACGATTTTCGATGATTAATATTTGTTTATGTTCTCTAGACCTTAAATATAAAAATCAACCTACTTAGCAGTTTTCTAACAAAATTTGTGCGTAATCGTTGCGGATGTTGCAAAGGGCTACAAAACACATAAGTTTAAGAGTGGTATAAAGCCTTCAATGATGATCGAGAGATAAATATTATATATTTTCATCAGTTGAAGAGGTCCAGAACTCGAGCACGTCCAAATAATTTTGGTAGATATTTTGAGTATGAAACCCTTTGATGGTTGACTCGAGCACGAATCCAAAAAAACCCAGGCCAGAGCCGCTCAAAAATCAAGATGATACTTACTGTTTCGATATTTGTTTTCGATATTCATGGTTTAATGTATCATGAATTTGTTCCAGRCGGCTAAAAATTAGTTCTATTTGGCCATATTGAGGCGTTTGAGTGAGAACATACGTCAAAACCCGAMGTAAGTGTAGAAGAACAATTCTTGGATTTTACACGATGATAATTGCATCAAGCCGYGATTGTGATCGAGTTTAATGCCAAAACCGACCGTTAAGACCGTTCAATCAAAGACATATGTATAAAACAAAATTCGCTGAAGGACCTAAAGGCCATCACAAAAAGTGCTTATGAAATGTGTTTCGARAACTGGAATAATCATTGGCATAAAGATATTGCATTCTGGGAGGAATTTTGATCTATCAAATAAAAGATCGGGRCTTTTTTTTATCGTTTTCAGTATTTTATTGTTTTTTTTTTCTTTTGGTTTATAACTGCATTTAAGTTTTATTCATACATTTAGTTGAGCAAATGCAATTGGTTTACAATCAATCTATTATTTTTTAAAATAGTTTGTACCTTTTGTATATAACAAATGTGTTTGAACTTGTGTAT